CAGGCTTACGTTCACTCCCCCTGCCGTGGTCATGCAGGGTGGACCTGCAGTTCTGGGTGTCACCCAGGTCCCCCTAGCCCCGCACACCCCATGGTCTGGACCTGAACAGGAATCCCACAGTGGTATCATTAAATGGTTTGAGTTGGAAGGCTCCGTAAAAATCATCTAGTTCTAACCCTTGCCATGGACAGGGACATTTCAGTTGCACTGGAGGAGGTTCAGGTTGGATATTTGGAACAATTTATTCTCGGAGAGAGCGGTGATGCGGTGGCACAGCCATCCAGGGAGGTGATGGGGTCACCATCCCTGGAGGTGTTCAGGAATAGTGGAGATGTGGCACTGAGGGATGTGGTCAGTGGGGTGGATTGGGGTTGGGCTGGATGATCTTAGAGATCTTTCCCAACCTTAACGACTCTGTGATTCCATGACTGGGACAGAGATGAGCTGAGGATGAGCCACTGGGCACATGGAGGGGCCGGGTCCTGCCCAGGGCTGTGCCATGGGGCAGCCGTGGGCTCTCAGGGTTGATCCTTGCGTAGGCACTGCACTGCTGGGACTTGGCCTGCCGCAGCCTGTGGGCTTCTAATTTACTGCTTTCCTTTTACCGTAAAACAGAAAGGGGAAGGTGCACCCTTTAATCACTGCCTCCGGGGCCCCGCCTGAAACCACACAGCGGCTGAGCGAAGGCTAGGAGTTAATGCTCCTTCCGACACCTTTTTATGATTCATGGGCCTGACCTTGAGCCATAAACCGCTCAACCTCCCTGACACACTGGCAGTATTTACAGCCTGCGGGACCGGGACATGCAGCAACAGATGCAGCTGCGTGGTTGGGATAGGCACAGGTATGGGTGCGACAGGTAGCAGCCGAGAGGCAGAGGGATGCTGCAGGCTGGGATGTCCTGGATTTATCCCTCGCAGAGGCATCCCAGGTGAGACCTGTGGAAGCTGCCATGGGAACTGGAGTGGGGTGAGACCTGGTGGTCAAAGAAAAGGTTGAGCAGAGCCTAACACGCTCTCTGCTTTTTGCCTCAGTTTCCCCACTGCTGCAGCAGCACTAATCCTGACCCATCCTGTTTGCATGGAGTTGGAAGACCGAGCTCAGCACTGTTTGCAAAGTGGGTTTGGCTCCTCTGATAGAGCAAGCCAGAATGTGAAGGTCATTATTATTAGCAGGATTCAAGTGATTAACCCAGTACAGGTGAGCAGCTGTGCTGTGCTCAGCAACAAAACACACACAGCCTCAAAGTATTGACAAATACAATAAAAAGCAATGAAAAAATAATGGCAAACATTATAAGACCAGCAAGTTGCCAAACTGCCCCCAAAACATGCTTCCTGAAAGCAGAAGGGACTGAGCTATGCCATTCCCAGGGACATCCATGGGACATCAGGATAGCCAGGAGTTCAGCGATGCCCATGGGTCCTTCCAACTCTGGCCTTCTATGATTCTATGATCCAGATCTTTAGGAGCCTGTGCTCCCTCTGCATGTACCCAAATCTCCTGGTATGGGCTTGTGTGCGTCACTTTCCCCATCCTCCCCAGGCATCCTTCTTCCTCCTCTGACCGACAACACAAACCACAGTAATGGGAAACTTATATTGGAACAAGAATTTCAATTTGGAACAGGATTTTATTTTTATTCATTTATTTTTTTTATTTTGAGTTTGCAAGTTGTCATTTTTTTTCCCCCTTCTCCTTGTGAAACAAAAGAGGGAAAACTCATCCTTATCTCAGAAAGCAGAGTTCAGGAAAAAGCTACTGGTCTTTTGGACTCAGTGGGTCCTGTTTGGTAGCCTTGCTTGTCATTGGGAATTTATCAGCCAAACACAGATCTGCTATAGTGCGCCATATAACTAGTGCATAAACAAACTTCAGCATGATAAATGAGCTACTTTGAAGCCATAAAGTTATTAGCTAGTGGCTGTTAGCTACTGCTTAGAGAGCACTCAGAGAGGGGTGTAGAGTTCCCTCTGCTGCCTGTAGCTCACGTCTGCTGTGCAACATCACGGGGGGCTGCCAGGTCCTGGAGCATCCTAACCTGCATGTTGCAGGGCTGTAAGGGTCCCTCTGGGCCACCTCCTGCTCCTGTTCCCACAATGTGCTGGGGGTGGCCAGGGCTGGCTGCATCCCCCTAGCGTTGCTGGGATGCAGGAGATGTCTCAGAGGGGCCGGCAGTGGGGCAGCAGGATGCAGAGCTGTCTCAGTGCCTGTTCCTCATTAGAAGCCCGGTGTTGAAGAAACTCATAATTAGAGCTCTGAGTATTAATTAATCTCCATGACCCTCCTCTCATTCTCCTTTCCCCGCTCTCACTGCTCAGGAGGTCAGCCTGCGTTATTAACAAGTGCAGGATGGTGAGCGTGCAGAGTGGGCTGGCAGCAATGTAGGGCTCAGACCTTGGGTCCTGTCCCTGTGTTCAGAACAGTGGGTGTCTGGCTCCCCCCGTATTGCTGGTGGAAGCAAGTGTCCCTCCCCACGTGCCTTCGTCTGCTGCTGGGCTCAGCTGGGAACATCCCACTGCTGGAGACCTGGCACTAGGGCATGCCAACAAGGCAGCCCGGCACAACCCCACCGTGGCACACATCTCTGCCCTGCCTGACCCCACTCAGGGGCGGCCCCTCAGTAGGACTAGAGAGGATGGCCTCAAGCTGCACCAGGGAGGTTTAGGTTGGATATTAGGAATACATTCTTCTCAGAAAGAGTGGTGATGCAGTGACACAGGCTGCCCAGGGAGGTGGTGGGGTCACTGTCTGTGGAGGTGTTCCAGAGCCGTGGGGATGTGGCACTGAGGGATGTGGTCAGTGGGCAGCATTGGTGGTAGGCAGAAGGCTGGACAGGACCATCTTAGAGCTCTTTTCCAACCTTAATGATCCCGTGACTCTGTTCTATGCTCCCTGCCTTGCCCATGCAGGCTTGGCCAAATGGAGCACAGCCTGAGGACTGGGAGATACCGAGAGCTGCCAGAGAGCGACAACACAACAACACAAGATATTACATAAATCCAAACTTTTCTGACTCCCTGGTAACCACCAATTGCTTCCCTGATCTGATTTTTCCCCTTTTCTGCTGGAGCAATAAAAAGGGGAAAATCAACATCCAAATGATCTTGTTTATGGCGACTAAATAAGCTGCATGTGCTTAATCCGTTAGAGTTTAATGAATTTACGACTTGCTTTGGAATTTGACAAGGGCTGTAAAAGAGTAATTAACATTTATCAGTGTGTTTTTTTACACACACCCCGCCCTCCTCCCTGCTCCCTGCCTCCTCCCACCGCCTGTCGCAGAGCAGCACTGGGTACTGGGGGGAATATAAAAGCGATCAATTAATTCTTAATAATCTCAGGGAAAGATTGTAGAGTCACTGTATGAACTCAGGGAGTGTCAATAAAGGTGCCAAAGGTTGGCCCCCTCATCGGCGCTGCGGAGGAATGTGGGTGGCTGGGAGGGGACGGGGCAGTGGGGCTGTGGTGGAGCAGCCCTGCACACCTTTGCTTTTCTCTGATGGCCTCCAGAGCGATGCTGGGACACCTCATCCTGGTGGCTGTAGGGCAGGAGGAGAACCCAAATCCTCACTATCACCACCCCTGTGTAATCGCACAGACAGCTCGTGCAATGGACATCACCATACACAGTTTATACTGCCCTGCTTTCATAGAATCATAGAATCAGAGATTGGAAAAAGTCACTAAGATCATCCAGTCCAACCCCAACCCATCCCCACCATTCCCACTCATAGAATCATAGAATCTTTAAGACCATCGAGTCTTACCATTAAATCCAACCACCAGCCCATCACCACCAATGCCCATTAAAATTCTGTGCCACGTCCCTTGAACGCCTCCAGGGACAGTGACCCCACCACCTCCCTGGGCAGCCTGCACCAATGCCTCACCACTCATCAAGAGTCTCCTGGAGGAGACAGCAAAGCTATCTGGGCTCGGCTATGGGGCAGAGGGGTCCCACGGACCTACAAACAAAAGCTCAGGATGATAAATCCTCAGAGGTTTGAGACTGTCCGGGCATCTGCTCTGGACAGAAACAAATTCTCCCTGTCGAACATAATGGCCCAGAAATAAGCACTGAGGCAGGGAAGGAGAGGGCTGGACCCAGAGGGTCTGGAATATCTCCCCCTAACCCCATGGCGAGCACGTGGGAGGGATGAGCACTGGGCATGCACACACAGGGCAGGCAGGAGCACTAGGATTTATGACCGGGTTATTCGAGGCAATGGGATGAGCACAGGAAAGAGAAGCAGAAAATAACAGGATGAACTTACATCATTTTCAACCTTCATTTCACATGTACCATCTTGTCCACAGGGAGCAGAGCAACCAGCACCCCCAGCACGAGACTCACTGAGTTATATTGGTGGCCCCAACAGGACCCATCGCTTCCCAGATCCTGGGATGCTGTCCCATGCCCTCCTGCCTGCTCTGGCTCAGCTGTGCTGCTGTCAGCCCGTCTAAACAGCATGGCTGGGGTCAGCATCCTGGTGGCTCTGGGATTTGTCATGGGATCTGAAGAGCACAGCTCACAGCAAGCACCCCCAGGGGCAGAAAGGGTGCACGGAGGGGGAGAGCATCCCAAAGGGGACACGGAGCTGTGATCACCAGCAACATCCATTGGATCAGCATCTTGGGACAGGAGCTAGGAGGTGACCAGACTGCTTCTTTTTGGGATAATGGGACCACAGAGGGGCACACAGAGGTGGCAGGAGTCCCTAGCATGCTGCTTGGGGTCTTAAGCCCACAGTCAGCGGTGCTAAAGATGATTGTAGGCTGTGGCTATAAGGAATCTATTGATCTCTTGGACTCTCTAATGACAGATTAACCATTTTAATAAAACGTCTCTTAATCATGCATTAACCCTTCTCAGCTACTCGTACATTCAACAACAAACTGAGGAGAATGGTGGGATTTCTCAGCATCATTTTTGGGGGAGAAGGGAGGAAAAGACTTACTTAGGTAAAAACGACAACAAGAAAAGAATGCAAACTTACAGAGGGGGAGAGTTAAAATCATACGATGAGTGGCAGTTGCAGACGCCTGGGGCCCTCTTTGGCTGTCGCTTCTATCTGGCAATCAATCGACAAGAAATGGGGATTATGAAATATTGTGCCTGTGAGCAAAGGAGGGGGTTCCTTCCCCAGTGTGTGATACCTCCACTCCCACCGGGACACAGCATGGCTAATGTCACCCATCTGGTGTTGAATAGGCTTTAGGTCACCCATGGCCATCATCCCCATACGTCTTTCTGACCAACTCCAAGCAAGGCCATGACATCATAGAATCATAGAATACCCCAAATTGGAAGGGATGAATCCTAGCAAAGGATCTCGATGCCTCTGATTTCTTATGGGAATGGGACTTGGCAGATGGGAGCAAGACACTGGGATTGGGCATGGAGAGAAGGAGGCAAGGGAACAGCTGCACTGGCGCAGAATAGGACAGGGGGCTCTGCCATGTGTGCACGGCCCCCCCGGGGCCTCTTGTGTAAGCACCAGGGAGAGGACAGGCACTGCTTCCTCTTGCTGGAGCCGTTGCAGCCTCAGAAACCACCACGTCCTCCCTGCTTCCTGCAGGTGCCCATGAATCACACCTTGTCACTGTGCTGCCCAACCGCCCCTTCGCTGGCCAGGAAAGGGTTAAGCGGGCATTCATCACCCTGTTTGAGAGATGTTTCAAAGCCTCTTCCAAATATTATAAAAAATGCCTTTAATCATCTAATAGCACGAACTCAGCCCATGATGGATGGAGAGAAGTCGCCTCTCTCCTCCTGATCCTAACAGATGAGGCTGAAGAGCTGCTGCTCCGGGGGGGAGGAAAGTTGGGGAGGGGGCTGGGGAGAGAGAAGGACATTTCTCAACCTCCCACCAGAGCAGTTATAAATATGAGGTCATACAGCAAGAGATGATAACGCATTAAGGGCTCTTGAGATATTAGTCTGTCAGCCTCGTTAGACACAGCCTATTTGGGGCTGACTGCATAATTAGAGGCTGGGGTACCCATAACTCATTGGTGTTTATATGGTGGAAGGGGCTACGCTCACCATCACCCTCAACACTCTGAAAAGTCATCTTCAGCAGGCATCTAGCTCTGCTCCCTGCTGCAAAAAAGCACACAAACCCTGGACAAAATCCTGCTCCTGCCCCAGCCTCTGCCCTTCTGCAGCCCCCACTCTCTTGCAGGTTGGAATGGGAAGACAGAGGTGACAGTCTGGCCCCAGGGAGCTCACGGGAGGTGCAAAGTCCCAGTCCTCCTGCCTGCCCCATGGGATGCGTTGCCCCTTGCAAAGGGCTGTGTCCACCATGCACCACCCCATGCTCGTCCTTCCCATGTCCTTCCCAGGGAGTTGCTTTGGGCTGGGATGGGAATGGGCCGTGGAGGTGGCTGTGTACTGGATAAGGATGGGGAAACAGAAATGAGCCCAAGGAAAGGAGAAAGCCTGAGAATACCATGGGACAGCACTGTGAGCATCCCCAGCCCTGCATCCCCTGTAACCTTCACCAGGAACCACATTTAAGCAGCGACCTATGAGAGAGGGCAAAGACCCCACAGCCTGGGCAGAGGTGACACCTTCCTTGGGAGTGCAAGCACTGGTGAGACAGTATGGAGCTGATTGGTGTGAACAAGGAGCTGGGCTTTGCTGAGCTGCTCCACTTTCTCTTCTCAGTTCTGCCTCACTGGTGGTGAGCATCGACACCGCGGGGCACTCCTCAAACCCACCCGCTCCAAAATTGAACAAGTGAAACAAGGAAGGGGAACATTTCCCTTCTGCAGCCGTGTGCAGTGAGGGCACTGCAGGAGCTGCTCCTGCTCTGGGGATGCCAGTAATCAGAGCCCAGGGGCTGCCCTGCCATCCCCTCATCCTGCACACCCTGCAGCTGGGGAGGGGGCAAGGGATCTGCAGAGGCAGGGGCAACCCCATGGCTTCCCAGGCTGAGGCAGGATAATGAATCCTGATGGGGGAAGTGACCTTTTCCAAATGCCACATGTCATTGGATTTTATATCACACCAGGACAATGCACCATGGGTATTAAAATCGTTTTTCCAATAGGAGTGCGTTGTGTGTATGTGTGTGTGTGTGTCAGGGAGAGATGTGAGAAAAATAAAATTAAGATGTGAAAATAAAGCTACCTCTAACTATGGCTTTTAGAGAAGACTTGGGTCCTGGCAGGGCAGCATTGGCAGAGCCAATCATGCCCTTTGCTCCTGAGGCCATGAGTGATTTTGTCAGGGAAATGTCCTGATCCCCATTTCTCAAGTTTTGCACAGACATCCACTTCTGCAGCATCCCCTATGCACAGGAGCACACCTCCAAAGCTGCTCATGGAGCCATGCACAAATGTGAACAGAGTATGCCATGCCTCTTGATTCCCATTGGCGCTAGGCTGGGCTGTGCATGCAGGGGAAGCAAAACTTTGCACAACTGCCAAAGCCAGACTAGGGGGTCTCACCCTTTAGGCCCCTGTGAGACAGCACAGGGAGGTACATGGAGCATCTTTATGCTGGTGCACACCGGTACGGGACACACTGAACACAAGGATGAAAGCACAGAGTGAGAAGGGAGTCACTGGGAGCCAAGCTTGCTTAAACTCCAGTCTGTTCCCTCGATCTGCAGGGCAATTGTCTGGCTGAAATAACAATGCTGAGACACACACACACACACACAAAAAGAAAAATAATAAAAAAGAAGACAAGCTGTGTTTGTTTATTCAGCTTCTTTCTCCCGTTCTGTCCTCGACAATGCCCTGACACTGTGTCCTGCTGCACCGGGGCTGCAGCCCCAATAGGCTAAATTTATCCCAGCTGGAGATGTTTACAAGCCTTGTCCTGTTTACAGTGTGGCTCATCCTGCTCACTCTGAGCCCAACAGCCTGTGCTTCCCGTCCTTGGGCAGAGCCACTGGGGGCTATGGGGAGAAGTGGCACTCCCGGCTGCTGCTTGCCCACTTCAGTGCTCCAGTGATGGCACAAGGGGACACCACATTTTCTTCCCCAGTATAGGCCTCAGGGCTCACCCAGGCTCTCAAGAGCTCAGCCTCTCCCCCAGTGACCAACCCATCAACTCACTCTGCTCTCCCAGGCTGCCTCACCCCATAGTGCCTTCAGCAGGGCTCACTTGGCAACATCCAGGCGTCCCTTTGCTGCTCATAGAGCCCCAGCTAATGAATCCTAATGCATGAAAGCTTTCCATCAACTATTTGGCTTGCTGTTGACGTGGGCTGGGAGTCACACGAGCAGATTTGGGGTGAGCTCAGACTGAGATCATAGAATGATAGAGTATCCCAAGTTGTAAGGGACCCATAAGGACCATTGAGTCCAACTCGCACGATGCATGGCAGGAGCTTCCAGGGAGCAGAGGGTTTGTGCATCCCAGCCCTGCTCTGCATCTGGATAAAATCTGTGGATGGCTGTGGGTGGGGTGAATTTAACCCTGAAGTTTGTCCACAGGAAGTATTTCTCCTGAGAAACCTAACATGTCAGGCACTTCTCATTGTGAAAGAAGAGCTTGGGAATGTCTGCCAGACCCATTCTTGCTCCAGAACACAAACAGGGCTTCTGGGGAACACCTCACCAACCTGAAAGCCTCCTCCATCTTTCACTCGCATTCGTTCCAAGCTCAGGTGAGGTGATGTAAACACCCCTGTTCATTGCGCCGGAGTTGGGCTAGATGACCTTTAAGGGTCCCTTCTGTCTCAAACGATTCTATGATTCTACGACATGGGAAGGGCCATGGAGCTGCACATCACACACGGGCCTGAGTGCGCTCCTCACGCGCGCTCCTCATCTCCGGAAGAAGATCCACTAGTCAGGAAGTCACGGCCCTGATTACTTTGTCTTCCACGTTTAAGAACATCCCTAACTGCTCCTTGGATAGCTCAATTAGTAAAGTGAATATATTATATAAAGTCTAAAAGATTAAACTATCATAGGCAGCCCATAATTTCATGAAGAAGTCAGGGGAGCATATCCCTCTTATTAACTCTATAACAAATGTGATGAAAATGTTCAAATAGAATGTTAATGCAATGTTACGTGTAATTTTCCCAGGCGATTTTCTGCTGAAATATTTCTTTATTAATAGTAATTGAGGGTATAAATTATGAATGAGGCGATTTTCTCCTTTCACTGGGAAAGACGTACTAATGGCAATAATTCTTTATAATAATTTTTTGGGGGGAGGATGGGGAGGGGGCTGGGGTGAGGGGTTTAAAGAAAAAAAACCTTTAAAGGGATTGCAAAATATATAGACTAGCAGTGCATGTTTTATGGCAGGGCGCTGTATTTTATATCTGTGCACCGGGCAACGCGCGGCCGCTGGCGAGAGCAGCTTCTGCACGTGGGGAATGGCTCAGCACAGGGATGTGATGGGAGCAGCAAGGCTGCAGGGGTGCAGTGCTGGGCACTTCAAATTGCAGTGGTGCTGTGAGTTTGGGGCACTTTTGGGACACGTTGGGGTGCAGGGACAGGCGGTGCTGAGTGGCACAGCTGCTCACCAGGGGAACAAAAAGTCCTTTTTTTTGTCTTCTTTCATTCTAAAAAGCCGGAATGAAAGAGGCGTTTTACAAGGGTTTTCAGAGCTTGCTCTCCTTGAGGGCTGTTTGGTTTGTGACAAGCCAAACGGCTTGGAATTTTTTCCATGCTGTTAAAAAAAGGATGCTGGTTGGAGGGCGTTCCTTCGCTGCCACGCTCTGCAAACATCTCTCTTTTTAAAGAAAGGGGAAGAAAAGATGACATCCTAAAATTTTCTGTTGCCCAATTATCTGGAAAAAGGCTATGAGTGGTTTGAAACTTTTCTACCCAAGAAATCCATATTTCTCCCTCCTTGGGTTCTTCCCCAAGGGACATCTCTCACACTGGCGTACTCACTGCCCTGCCCTGACTGTCCCCATCCCCTCTGCTGGGCTGGGAACTGAGGCAGAGCTGCTCATTCCCCAGCGAGGATGCTCTCCCTCCACCTATACCCTCCCACAGGCACTGCCCCAGGCCCTGCCAGAGGCATCGCCTGCATGGAGAGGCCGACAAAATCAACGCGATCCGTCACCGGCCCTCCTCAAAATTAAGTTAATAA